ATGATAACTCTGTTGTCAAGTGTTCCCTTCTTGGAAGGCAACCACACGCTTGAGTACCGTCCATTTATGTGCCATCTGGACGTGACCAAGACGACCACGAGACAAATAATTATTTGTACCCTCCTGTGAGACATGCTTGCTCTGAGAGGGCTCTCTACAATGGATCATGGACGACCAACAGAAGTGGTATCTCTTCAGCTGGATTTCTTTTAGGGTGAGCACTAAAAGTAGGCACTGAAGGCATGGATTAACGGATGAAAGAAGTTAGATTTAGCGACCTCAACTAGCAAGGGATCTAGACTTTAGTGGACGTGAAGTATGGAACGCATACCACTTCAGTAGGTGTATCGATGATATGTTGTGTGTAGCTATCTGGGCTAAAGGAATGCCTTATTTTCCATCCATCGCATCCGTCATCCACAGCCTGCGCACCACACATTTGGCCAGGATACCAGAATGTCAACCAAAACGAGTTCGTTGTAAGCCTAAAGCTCTTGGCACCCCATCGGAAGGTATGAACCAGGTAGCTAACATGTAACGAAGCTACACATGGTCGAAGCGACCCCGGACGTAACGAACCCAATGCCACGAACTTAAACGGTATCCGGAGTGTTCGACCCAAAGATACTTGACCCAACAAAATCCCTGCCACGGTAGGGCTATCTACTGGCCTCGGACACCTGTAGACACGATAAAACAGAGCAAATACATAATTATTTGACAGAACGCACTACCTTAAGGGTGCTGGAAGCTCTCCAACAGTCCACTACAAGTTTCGCCTTTTTGGGGTCCAGTAGGTAGCCGTAGTAACTGAACCATCATCAGTAGTATATTCTAATTGAACAGCAAAAGTTACGCAATTAATTAACTGTTTATTAATCGTTTTGACAACATTTACTCCGAATCATGTCTGATAGAATGCTGCTGCCTCTGCGGGAATATGCGGCAGAATCCAAGGGAGATGTTTTTTATTCGAAGAATAACAATTAGGTCAATTTTAAATTAACTGTTAAGGTTAGATTCCTGAGGATGATCCCAGAATACCCTAAACCTACTGAGACCCTAAAACTCCACTAAACACCGACCAGACAGCCTCGAATCAAGGTCAAAACACTGCTTTTCAAAGAAGAGTGCGGGACCGTTGTACTCTGGCACTCGCTTGTTTGCAATAAAACCGTTGTGTTCCTGTTTCCGGCGCTAACCCACTGGACCAGGGAGAATAGTCAGGTATAGCACTAATACTAGGACTACTGAATTCGCCTTAGTCAGATTCCGGTAGTGAGAGAAATGCCGAGCAGTCGCGCCCTTCAGATATATGCATTTTTTTATTTCCTTATTAACTTATTGTTAGCCAATACCGAAGAATTGCTCCTCCTCGCTGAACAGAAGGAATGACCATAAACACAGCTCCATACGACCGAACCACTCTTCAAAGGGACGATGCACAGTTAAGGATGTCTTTTATCTGTTGCTACCCAGCTGTACAAGACTCAAGGTCCTAAGACCTTTTCAAAAAAGCCAAAGGTAAACCCGGAATCCCTTCTAAGATTGCTCACTTTCTACAATGACAGCTCTTTATAAATCCCATTAAAGTTCATCATAAGAAGTATTACCATCTTTAATGTACAAAAGTACCTGCACATCAGGTGCTAAATTAATAAAGGGGAGCTGACTTCAGTTAAGGATTTGTCCATAACAATCCTATGGATACCCATGGTTTGATGTGATTTAATCCTCATGAAAATGGTCTTGTAGAGTCATGTCTAGCACCACCAGCGCACCAACACATTCAATGTGCTAGTCATTACCTTGGTTTCTGTCAAATGACGTTAGTCACAGAAAGTCACCTTCAGGCTTTGTTTTCGGATATACCCAGAAATCCAAGACAGATCGGGTAAGTGCCCAAGACAGTTTCCAGGATGTATACTTTCAGGGTATCTTCAGCAGTAGCTGATTTTCCTCAAGCACTTTTGTAATATCTCGCCGTCCGTAAACTTAATTGTTCGATGGCTTTTGAGAATTCAACTAGATGTTTCGAAAGTTAGGCTTCTGATGCCTTATTTCATGGTCCCACCGAATGCTGAATTCTCAAAACAACAAGTGTGACCAAAAAGTTGATGATATATCCTACCGGTCAGCTAACCGGTCTTCAGGCATCTTACTTTCGCTACCTAACCTGTTTTCGCCTGAAAATTTTGCTGAGTTTTCTAAACGTAATGCGCTGCTCACAAAGTTGCTAAAAACTCTTCGAGAGCACATTCACTTGAGGGAGGGCAACCATAGAAACGAGGGATTCAGCTGGATTCCGTCGACTGTTCCGTCTAAACCAAATTCGTGTGCGGCTGCAAGTATCTGTTGCTGAGAAATATTCACCAGGGTTAATCTTCCCTGAAAGAGGAGACACGATTTCAGTGGTGTCTGCCGAATTCGGTTAGTGGACCATGGTTCGGTGACCCCTGTTTTACGTAAATGAATTCAGTCCGCTCATGGGCTGGTACGGCATTGGATGGTGATTAAAAAAACAAAATAATACTAATAATTTTCATAAGGGAAACTACTCACAAGATTGCTGAAAACTCTTCGACATCTCACGACCGATTTCGCCCTTCTTGGGACTCATCAGGTAGGCGTAGTCCCTGAGTTTCCGTCAACCTTATGTTCTGCTTGTAGTTGTTGTTGTTCCATTAATGTTGTGTTTTTATTCCACGTTATAAACGGAATTCAAGAAAATGGCCAGTTGGTGCGATGGTGGTTTGCACAGAATAACCAAAGCTCACATAAGGGTCGAGGGATGATTACGATGGAAAGCAAACTCCAGATGGAATGCTCTTCATAGTGACTATGAATAATTTATGTGATGTTGGCACAATATTTGCACGATATTCGAGATATCGCAGTATATTTTCATGAAGGAAACTACTCACGAGGTTGCTGAAAACTCTTCGGCAGTCCACGACCGGCTTCGCCCTTCTTGGGGCTCATCAGGTAGGCGCAATCCCCGAGTTTCCACCAACCTTATGTTCTACTTGAACTGTTTTCGAGAAATACGTTGTGAGTAGCTTCCTTCATGAAAATATACTGCAATGTCTCGAATATCGTGCCAACTGAAACATGAGGCGGCCTGTGTGCAGCACATTCAATTGTAGAATATCATAAACGAGAGATTCAGTTGAATCTCTCGTGAAAACCAAACTGATCTGCAAATGAGTGTATTTCTCGAATAATAATAATTCTTCAAAGTGATCCGTTTCGTCTCGAAGCCGTGCTGTCAGGTGGCTAGGTCAGGGCTAGTTTCCCTGGTGGATAATCGACTAAGCGGAAATACAATACCTGCGTTTAGTGGGTTGGGATTAGTATGCCAGTTTTTGTTTGCTTCAGGCTAACATCTGTGAGCGGATGTACTTGGGGGTTAAAGTAGATACTGTCCTCCAAAATTTCGGGATCCCGGCAACTAGTCAAAACTCGATTCTTCTAAGTTATTCACCAGAATCCAGTTCACAGTGCTTCATTTCACCAAAACTTCGAATCTTTGATGGATTAAACGTTACTTCCCATTAGGTGGTAAATCCAAAACTTGCGGAATGCTTCCATAAGCTAAGCGGATTTCATTGTATGTTTGTTAAAACTGACACGCATGATATTTGCGTGAATAAATTTCGAAATATGGTTACGAAGCTTTTCGGTTCGGAATTTTCTGATTAGTTGTAGGCATTTGTGGTGCTTGTCAAATCTGCATTCATTCCACAGTTGTTGGGATGCTCTCCCTCCTACTGTTTTTCACTTATACTATTCAGTACGCATCCATGCATCAGGCCGTCTGTGGTTTAAAATTGTAGCGGTGTGTGTGTATGCAGATGATCGTGTCTTTCAGACTTTGCCGGGGATTGGAGGCCTAGGTTTTTCGGGATTTTATTGAAGTCATCCGCCAGAAATGTATTCACACTGTGGATGCGAAAGACACATGTACCTTATGTCCATAGATGGGTCTTTTTGTGTACCATGAAGAGTAGTTTTCTGTAGCAGTTTATACTTTCCACATATGTCATTCTCCGTAAACCGACGTTACATATTCTGAGTTCAAAACCGAATAGATATCCAACAGGTTGACGGGTTCAGTTAAAAACACCGAATTCCACCACCGCGCGCAATACAAACAATTAGTGTGTAGCGCATTTGAAACTCGAATGTATCTGCTTGCCCGTTCCTCATATGACCTTATACGTGCCCCTCCCTTTCTCTCTTCCCCCATTGCAGGTACCACGGACGAATCACCACGGGCCCTGGACAGGGAAGAGTACCCCGCTTGTACACCCCCCTAACTGACCTTGACCCGACCCTGTACACCCCCCGCTTCCGGTTTCGGTTTCGCTCAATACACGGGTCGTTACCACACTCCGGCCTTCTCCCTTGTTCCACCCTAACTGTGCGCATGTGTGCTGTGTATACTGTGTGGATTCATTAATACCAGTCCGTATATCTGCACATTTCAGAACTGACGTGTGCCGTCCTCTCGAACGTCGAATACCGCTGACTTCCTGACGTCCCACGCTACAGTGGTCAGCGCCTTCAAGTCTCATTGCCTTCATGCTTATCAGGGTCGTGTAAAGTTCGAAAACTTCACTTCCAGTCAGTCAAATTTTCCAATGGAATTCGCCGCGTCAGATGAACTGAATAAATCATTTAAACAAAACTTTCCCTTTTGTGGGGTTATCGCCAATCACTTGTTCCAACAATCCAGTTCTATTTTTGAGGTTTTACGTCATTGGTGAAAACTGATGCGAAAAAACACAAAAAAAACTAAGAACACCATTGGTAAATAGTTCAGCGTGCACTGTGCATGTTAGTCTGTCGTTCAAAACCACGTAAATGTATATCTTTGAGAAGAATTCAGCGAGTATACACTATCGGTACTCATATAACAAAAGCTCACTGTCTAAAATCGGAAACAAACGGTGATGATTCAGTGGTCACAAGATCGACAAGGTGGTTAATTTGCATAGATGCACGGCATACAGACAAGCCGGGTCCCTAAGAAACTGAGTCCAGCACCTTTAACATCCAGTCAGACAATCTGGATAGAAAATGACAGTAAGAATGTTGTTGCTAGAGTTTAGCCGCCATATCGTTCAGTGTCTGTAGCCAAGCCCGTGCAGGGTCACGTGAGTCACATCCTGGAAGGTCGACAGCACTAAAATCACCCAAACACCTTTCATTCCTCTCTATCATGCCAAATTTTGTCCACCTGCAGGTTTCCACTACTTTGAATTAGACAGGGAGAAAAGCTCAAGTCGGTAGGCTCAGGTCTGTATGCATAACACATGTCCCATCTAGATTAGCTTACAGTGTTGGATGTGTCATTCCAACAAAGTTCCATATGCTTCACCAAAGACCTGTACCCTGATCGCGTCATTGTGAATTCGCTAGCTGCAACTGATTTCATCTATAGTTCTGAGGTACCATCTAAAGTTATCCCATGAGCTCCTGCTAAAGTGATCGATGTCACCGCCGTACCGTAGTTTGGTATATGCGTTCTTTGAGCCCCAGCGATATGTATTTTCGATGTTACAAGTAGAGCTAATTGGTAATCGCGATTTCGGTCCTTGAAATTTGTGCATTCACTTCGTCAGACACACTACCCCAAGAGCTCATGCAACTTCCAGTGTCACTCTTTGAATTTTGGTTGACGTATTCAAAGGCACGTTGCACAACATTAATCTGCATTTGGTGGGCGCGGAAGACACATTAAAGGGCTGGATGACCTCGATCAGCTTTCCAAATAGTGCCCTTGGGGTTTCATTGGGTGAGGCTGCCAGATACAGTCGCTAAATACCTCCTGAATTCTGCCGTATTTTGTACTCTGCTAAACTATTAATAAAGTATATCAACTGATTGCCACTGGCATGAATGAGCTATGCGACCTTTTCCCTCTCTTACGAAACCCATTTTAGCATACTCCTCTGCAATACGAACGATATATTTCCTACTGAGACACAGTACCAAAGTTTATCCGAAAATTGATTTTCTCCTTTTTCTCAAACGAACACGTGACTAACCGTTCATTGGCCAATACCACATCCGCCGTACGAGCAACATTTTCGTTAAAACCGTCAAAGCCAGCTTCGAGATGAAATTAAAACTTTATCCTTTAGGAAGGTGCTGAACTCTTAAACAGTTTTCACAGCCTACAGAACCTCATATGATGCCACTCAATGATTCCCATATCTTTTCTAGTTCAAGGTATCCGGATATTTCCAATAGTTTTCCCGATAAAGGTGTCCACTGATACTTCCCGGTTGCCCAATCCAAAGAACGGCATTTGATTAAGGTAGCTCACCTTGAGCCTTTGACTTAAAACTCTGATCCATGAAACAGTGGAAGGATGTGGGCTTTTGTTCCGAGACCCTACCCATAGCCTCCCATTCAAAAGTCGAAACTAGAAGGTAGTGGTTTCTAGGGTTGTCTTGGGGGACCCATCCTGGAGCCAATAACTCAATAGTCTGACCCATTTGGCCGCAGGGAGCCGACTTGCCCATATGGCGCAGGGAGTAAGGCATTGCCTAGTGCAACCGCGCACAGCAGGTGCCTTTTGAACAGCACTAGACTCTTTGGTTTGCAAAGTATTTCGACCGTACTGAATAATGTGCTGGCGATCTCGGTCAACCATTTGGTGATCGGAGTGTGCGGTTTTTAGGTTCGACCTTTTCGAACCCGACCTTCCTCGGTAGAAGGCGGCATTACTGCCTCCATAACAGTGTATATGCTAGTTACGTGGCAAAAACGTCATACTGCCTTCGCACTCCTATCGCAGGGGAGAGCACGACTTCACTCCCAGGCCGTTTGTTTGATTATTGACCTCTCAAGGGTCATTATCGCCTCAGCCGCATCCAGCATTGACTATAGTCTTACCTGTATCATCCCCGCTGTTGTATTTTACTTTCTATGAAGAACACTGCTTCCTAAGGACATACTTACGATGTCACCACCTATGGTAATAACAAGTTTGCAGCGAAGTTGTCTGCCTCAGCAAACAAACCACTAATCATTTGTTCTGTCTGAGCTACCAACATTCTCCTCCATAGTAAAGCCGACCTAGTGAGTTGTTTCTTCAGTTTGATGGTGAACTTTCAAAACCTTGGTGGGAACGGATGACACATCATGAAAACCATATGGAATAAAGCCAGTATAAAATGTTTACCATTCCCCCATTCTGGGGATAAGTGAAACATTCTTGAGCAACTCGATAACGAAGCGCTATGGTGTAGCTTTTGAAGAAACGACTCTGACTCAGTAGTTTTTTTAGCTGTTTGCACAGCACTTGGTCACGACATCGTTCGCTGTTTGTCTCTATCTGTCATCATCTACCTCACGATTTTTATACCACGTATCCCGTGACCGGCATGGTCAGCCGGCCGGTCTTGATCAAATTGTCAACTTCGCTGTTGTGTCGTGTATGCTGCCGATTAACGCCACTGCGTTTTTTGCCTATGTATAGGCTTTTGGGTGTCTCCTTGTTCACCGATGTATGCCACCCATCTAAATGACGGGAAAATGACGCACACGGGTTTTCAGCCTCACAAACGCCGGTTATCAGTGATCAGAATTAGATGACGGTGTATACGCATGTACGTGCACGTGCTAGGATACGCAGAATCCCATCAACTTCAACCAGGTACTCTATCGCGTATCCGATGCATACGAATGCGTACTGTGTTTGATAAAACAGAGTTTGTGGTTGTGGCAGCGGTGGATAGAACTTGACCAGATTTTATGGTGTGGCTGCCATTGGTTGACTTTGCACCACCGTCAGACATTTTCCGCAGCTGTTTGGCCATGGAACCGACAGATACTCTGCGAAAACTCCGGCCCCATGTAAGTCAGGAAGAACTCGTTGGGAGCGAAAACGTTTCCAAAACACTGCGCCGTTTTAGCCAGAAACACAGTAAACACTAGTCGATTGTACGATGAACGGTTGTTAGACTGATTCCTAAATTCCCAGGAAAAGGAGGCAGGGAAAATGCTAGACCTCTAGAACGACCATGAAAGCTGATCGTCGATGCCGGACTGCATGGGTTTCTGTAATGCATCACAAGAAGCTCAAGGAAAGGTTTCATGCGGCTGGCGTAGAAAATATGCAATTTTGTATTCCACCGCTCACTGTAATCTGAAGAATCAAGCTCGTATCTACCCATGGGTGACTTGTGTTTGACCAAGCTCAGGTGACAGATCTGGACACGCTCTCGGTTCAAATCAAAGGTCCTGTAATATTTCTTACAATGCTGGATTTCGTCGCTTGATCAGAAAGGACTGTTGACTGAATGACGAATATCCACCTTAGACTAACTAAGCTCCAACACCAAAGTGACTATGCTGTCAGAATAAAGGTACGTTGCTAGACAAAAATACAATAAAATTTGCTTTGAAAAGTGACAAAGAAGGATATACCGCAAAAGTTAACTTTCTCTTATGGAAGCGGCTAAAGCATCTGAGACCCCGCAGTCGATTGCAAGAAGAAACCACCGGCAGTACCTCAAACCCAAGAATAAGGCTCATTTGTACGGTGTGTTCTGCCTACTGAAGCCACATATACCGCCCGTGATGCACACCTTCGGTGACAAGCATGTCTCAATATAAACGGTTGCAATGGCTCATGAAAGTCCTCAAACCTATCAGAACGGAATGTGGCGCCTAATCTTGACCTAACTGAACAGCTGAAGAACAGAAACTGCGCAGATAATTACTCCCCGTAGTTTGATTTTACCTCCGTGTTGATTAAAGAAACTATTGACGTGATCCGTACCTTCTCGGATCGTACAACCATTTCAAACGATGACTTGTGTTGTCCCACAACGTTGTGTGCCGAAAAGGTGAGTTTCAATTTTGATGGCAAGTTACGCAGCTACATACGTGGGATCGCTGTGAACAACAATATTTGGGCAAATAATTACGGCTATCTGGGACAAAAAATCAGTCCAGCACATGTCACTAGAAACATGATCTTGATGACACACATGTTTTACGTAGTGACACGATGCATTCGGAACAGAAACGTCAAGTCTGATCACGTTGAAATTTAGCAACGAAACCGCGACCGAGCCATAGAGTGAGGGGGGGGCGAATGAGGATTCGCCCTGGCTTAAGGGGGGGGCGAATGAGGATTCGCCCTGAGCTTATTTATACAATGGCAAACGACTCTACAATCAGCGTCATGAATTCTGTAGCCACACAATGCAAATGTATGGATGAATTCCGGGAAACGTGCTGCTCTCAGTTATTGGGGGCCATGTTGAGCATACTCCGCACAAATTCTGCTCTGTACTCACTTTTGGAACCAAGACCCAACAGAGAATCAAAAAGGGAGCATTCTCAAAAAGTAACAGAAGATACTCGTCCAAGCCTGGCATAGGGGAGTGGCAGTTCTGAAGCCAAAAAGGTAATGCGTATTCGCTTAGGATTCAGAGAGCATAGTGTATAGAACCACCGACTACTAGATACGTGATTCGCAGTAAATCTATTAAAACAGTAAGCAAATCATGAAGGAATAGCTGTCCATTCAGTTTACCTCAAAATGGATTTGCAGCTATACACGTAGACATGAAAACACATAAGTGGATGGAGCGGGGAAACATCTGTTAGATTACACCGCAAGAACCTTGTCAAAAGACCGAATACCATTGCAAAACCCTTTGTCGATATCCCAACAGAGACTTATTTTCATTATCGACCTTCAAATCAGAAGGTCAACCTTGCGCAGAGCGGAAGGTTTCGCTCATCAGGTAGGCCTGGGTCTTTCTGGAGCATGGCACACTGTACCGCTATTTCAAGGGGAGGTCGCAGCTCCATCACGTTGTGGTGGCCCTATTCATTAGAAGGTACTCGGTAGAAAGGTGAAAAAAAACATTGTTTTTCCGTAACCAATTTCGGCAGATTCCATAATACTTCCTCCATGATTTGGGTGATCCTTCACGGAAGGGTGATACATAGGGATTGTATCACATCCATTCTGTGATAGATTAATGAAATTCCAAGCGTTTGCTACCTGCTCTGGGTTAAGTTAGAGTTCCCCGTTTTGGTCTGAATTAAACGCTCTAGATTGTAAACACTACTTCGACTTATACACACATTTGCAGCGTTGTGGTCCCATGTGCAATGGTCTTTGGTCATTACATATACAGTTGATAAAGAACCATGTGTTTTTTCATCTAGCCAAAATGAATAAGAATAGTCTACGATAATTACTGATAAAGTGAGAAATATTGAATTATCCTGCGTTGTCTTATCCCTCTGCTCTATGAGCGTTAGTACTGTGAAATATTCCAGCAAACGGTGTTGTGCGCATATCCGAGGACTTATTTAGCAGTTATATCAAGTCTAGAAATGTTTACTAATTTGGCGATTTGTTGTATCAACTGTGTCCAAGACATAGGCTACTCGATGCGAGTGATATCCGGGAAAATTGGGTTTGTGGTTTGGAACCTCCCTGTTGGGACTATGCAAGCGACTGCGGAAACTTGTATGCCTCTTCACTTTGTTCAAAATGGTTACCCTTTCGGTAAGCATGGATTGTAATGAAAATGTTCTGGGCAGCTGAAATGGTCACTTCGATGAACGTGGGATTCATTCAACAAAAAAGATCATTCTATCTGGCATCTGTTCGCTCGCTGCAACCATCAGTACCTAGTGACGGAGCATGGTCACACAGGCAAGCCGATATCGACCGAACTAGACATCATCCCAAAGTATTTGGATGGTACCGTGAGCTGCAAATATTTCCAGTCCAGTCGAAACCCAACAGGTGGTCATCTGAGTGACGGATTATATATTTGGCAGCAGTTACAACTAAATTGTTTAGCGGGAGCTTGTTGACACCCAAAGATGATGTTTATATTTCAGACCTTGCCCGTACTTACTGCGTTTACCCTGATTCTTCTAAATCATTGTCAAAAATGGAACCGGGAGTTTATGGAGTTGAGCTCGCATTAGGAGAAAACTTCATGTATCCTGAAGCCTATCTACAGATGGACTGACAATATTGTCATAACGAGAAGACTCCATTTTCCCATGGATTGCTGTTTTCTGTACAAACCTTTTGATTTAGATTCATTGCAAAACTTCCTGTATAGCACAAGTGATGTCAGCCCAATAACCCCTCCAAACTCCGCTTTTATCTACCAACACACGAGATTACACGAGGAGTTCTGAAGCAGGCTAGTTGGCTCCAAGGCTTCCTTTCTCGGATTACAAGGCGCCTGACTCTCGTTGCTAGTGCTGGTGGTCTCTCGGTACGCGTGATGTGGTCACAAATGTGTGTAGACAAACAACCAACTGGTTGCTACGTTTCCACGTAGGTATAATATATGTATGATGAATTGGCTCCGCTGTATATCAACCTGTAAGTGGGAAAATTCACAGGACTCTGAACGGATCGTTTTCCTCTGATAAACTCCGACAGTGTTGTTTTTGTCTCTCGCTTCTGTTACTATGCTGCGCAAACTTGGGTGATCGACTTCTGTCAAATGGTGGTTCGAACGACAACTATGGAACCCTATCTGTGGTTTCAACCTATCGAATCACCAAACATCGCCTGTTTATCTAACAAGCTAGAACCAAGATCGGCATGACGTAGATGTAACCTGGACTACCAAATAGGTCGAATTAGTAAAATATCTAGAAATAATTCAGATATTAAGCATAAGGGAACACGAAAGTCGTCAACTGGCATTCTGAAAACATAGTGTACACAATCCAGCAGAAGGAAGTATCAAAACACAGTAGATAGTGGTCCTACAATATCTCGTAAACGAGTTTTGCATGGTACCAGTTCATTAAATACTGCCGAGTTTCTTGTACGGGTGTCGTATTTGAGTTTCGGTTGACCTTTTCTATTGTATCTACTTTAATCATAAAATATTTCCTATGAGCAATGAACACCGATTAGAACTGGCCTACATTGTATATCTTTGTAATGTGCTACTCATAAGGTTGCTGAGAATCCATCGACAGCCCACGACCGGTTTCGCTCTTTTTGGGGCTCATCAAGTAGGCGCAGCCCCCGGGTTTCCGTCAACCTTATGTTCTACTTGAAGCCAAGTTGCACGGAATTAGCGAATATACACTCATTTGGAAACTAATTTGGTTTTTTTTCGAGAGACTCACCTGGAACCCAGCTGAATCTCTTTTATGATGTTCTCAGGCAATATCGTAGCGACTGAAATATGAGGCGGCCTGGTGCAGCACATTCAGTTGCCTGAGAACATCATAAACGAGCGATTCAGCTGGTTTCCAGGTGAGTCTCTCGAAAAAAACAAATTGACCTACGTTCTTATTCCTGGTTAGTCTTCGCGACAAGAGGCAATTTTTTCGACCATACAAGTAAATATCAATAGAAATGCTTATAAGTAACCACAATGCCTTCAAAAACAAGTAAATGAATTACCACATCTGCAGTACCTGCCGACGATCCTGTATGGAAACATAATTTCCAGACAACCAACCGGTTTTCCTCTCGGTTATGTAAACCATAAGCATTCGCTGACTAAAATTACCCTAGTGTGAGAGCCATCCTTTCATTACCTCAGTGGAGACTATTTTTATAAGAAGCAGGGCATTTTCCCCTTTCCTTGCAATGAAAACGCTTATGAGTTTGATTTAAACTGTTCGGCAACCCCCTACTGGTTTTGCCCTTCTCGAGACTCATTAGGTAAATGTTGTCTATTGTTTCCATCAATCTCATGTTCCAATTGAACACTAAGTAGAGCATGAATTGAGCTAGGCACTTACCTATGTGAGTTCTATTGGCAGACCCGACCGATGGAAATTCGGAGACTACGTCTACCTGATGAGTCCAAGTTATATAAAACCGCCAGTGCACTGCAAAAGAGTATTCATTGACCTCATAAACACGATTAGTTCAGGAAAACTATTCCCCTACTCCGTCTGAAATATGGTCTGCTTGCTTGGGCGAAGGATATCATGAACACGATATTAAGTTGAACTCAGTCCGGTCCCAGAGTTACGTCAGCTAGTCCATGTTTTGAACTTTTCGTTTTTCGGACGTGTCCTCTATATGACTTTTTCATGAACAATCAGCTTATACTCATAAATTGACTCGCGCTGATCTATAAACTTATCATGTGAAATCCTTACCATACTGACTCACGTTTGAAGCTGTCTGGTGTAGCGTCTGTTCTTGTCATGTCGGGCGAAAGACATAGCTTCGCTGACATGCTTTGTATGTATGCATTATTCCTTGCATTCTTGATATGACTTGAAAAAAATAGGTCAACTCGTAGAAGCAGTTCACTTAAGGAGGGTATGAATGAGTACTGTCCACCGCTTCACCCACGGTGGATGAGCTCAGGTTCATTGAATTTGCCAACGTTGTTCTAAATAAGAATTTGTGTTGAGTATCAATCAACAAGGGGGATTCATAAATATCACTTATATCTGCCCTTACCAACACTTTTTACATCTAATTAGGCGGCCGTTAGACCAATAGCACATTTTGTAGCATTGTCGCTGAGAGATAAATCAGGTGAACTGTCTCCTCTGCAAATTACAGCGGTTTCGTTTCCCCAGAGTCTTTTAGTTCGCATTCGAAACTTACCAAAATGCGCGATATTTTGAGGTTGACTGTGACCTTCTACGTTCAAATTCTAGTACTTCTCCTCCACTTTGAAACGCCATAAAGGCCTTCGAACAAGCGTAAATTATACGACAGTTTCACGTTTCGGTTAGACCAGTGTAATCCTGCAACTACCATGTATTCATCTCCCTGAAAGATTATGATAAAACAGCTGGGAAATGTAGGGAATGTGTGGTTATTAACCAAATTTTTCGGCGTTGTTTTGTATTCCATTCAATGTGTTATACAGAACATTCCGGGAACTCACTTGGATGGCGACAATAGTGGCTGGGTGTGTTCTACTCAACCTCGTTCGGCATGCTTACGAACAAAGAAGTTTCTTGTCATCCACTGGACCCGCCGACTCTCACTTGTCTATCCGGCATTCTAATCATATTTGCAGGTTACTGACTTTGAGATTACACTAACTTGTCTTTTCAAAGTACTCTGACAATAACACTGACATCGCAAGCGTGGAATGCAATCATTCCCAGAACCCATTGTTCTTGCAAATAAAAAATAATCAGCGGGTAGATGTGTAGGTTCAACGAAATGAGATTTCGCTGTTCAGCTAGGTGCGAGTACTCTTGTGTCCCGGCGTAAAATGGAACTCGCGCAACCGTCCCGAACCGCAAGGTGGTACTAAATGCCTTCTGCGCCAGAAGTTAGTATGCGACCAATCTGCAGACGATGTCAGTGTGAATGAGTGATCGATACAAACTTCGAAAAAACCTTTCGTGAGTAGTGTTTCCAGCCAAGTGTGTAACGCGAAGACCGTCATGAAGTTCGGTTGACTCGAAGTTGAAGCGAAACATATATGACTGCGCCTATTTGATGCCCCCCCCCCAAGAAGTGCGAAACCGGTCTTGAACTGCCAAAGAGTTCTCAGAAAATCTACTGCAAGATCTCGAATACAAGAGGCGGCCTGGGGCACTTCTATCAGCTGAAGAAACATTAAGCGCGGGATTCAATCTGATTCTTTTAAAACCAAATTTGTATTTGGCTAACTCCCTCCAGTGGGGTTCAAGTGGAACATAAGGTTAAACGAAACTCGGAGACGTCGCCTACTTGATGAGTCTGAAGAAGGATGAAAACGGTTATGGGCTGTCGAAGAATTTTTAGCAACTTATGGGTGGTGCACTAAGTTCAAATTTTCCCTTTTAGTCGTGTGGGAAGTTTCGTAAACCTCGCCTGAAGCCCAATGGCGATTTTACTCTCCTTGGGTTCTCAGTGAGTTTGCATGCAGCTTTCCGCACTGCTTGAAATGAGCGTGTTTTTCTCTATCTTATCACTCGACCTAACCTGAGCATCTGGCGCGCCGCACATCCGGTGGAAAACGTCGTATGCAAGTGATACGTTCGAAGCTCGTCTGATTCTGCTGTTTGCGTTAACTTGTTACGCACACCACTTAAAGCTTTTGTAAAATGGGAAGTGATGAAAGATGAAATGATTACTGTAACTAAAGGTTGATTTGCTTCCTGATGAACTGCGAATAGGTCTAAACTCGTGATACGCTGGCAGGTAGTTTTCATTAATATTCCTATAGTAATTATTCAGAAGGTGACAAAGTCCGCTGTGGCAAAGAGCTACGTCTGTTATACACGTCTGCTTGTTTGTTGGTCTGTTCGCGGAGCCTGTCAGTTGGGTTGCAAACGTCTGATCACCACTCGAAGTGATATCAACACTGCGCAATTCAGTGAGAACTGACGATATGACATTGATTGATGATGAAAAGTTTGCAATCAAACTACCAAGCTCGGTGAACAGACCATCAAACAAAAATTTGAGTCTTGAAAAGGAAGAACTTTTCATCATTTGTAGCCACAATCACAAAAAGGCTTATGGAACATTCGTAATGCACTACTCATAAGTTTGCTGAAAATTCTTTGACAGCCCACGACCGGTCTCGCCTTTCTTGGCGATCATCAGGTAGGCGCAGTCCCCGAGTTTCCATCAACCTTACGTTCTACTTAAAGCCAAATTGCACGAAATCAGTGAACTACACTCAGTTGCAAACAAATTTGTCTTTAAGAGAGACTCACCTGGAACCCAGCTGAATCTCTCGTTTGTGATGTTTCCCGGCAGTTGAATGTGCAGCACCAGACCGCCTCATGTTGCCTGGACACATCACAAACGAGAGATTCAGCTGGGTCCCAGGTGTTTCTCTCGCAAAACCACATTTGTTTGCAAATAAGTGCATTTCGCTCTATGGTCGAGATTCAAAACCTTCTACACTAAGGTGACACAAACTCTGTTATGGGAGAACCTCACGATGAGCAAATACTGACTTATTTCAACAGTCATTTACTGACATCGACCAGTATGACGGAGCCTACTGTTGACAAACCTTAGCTGGAGCAGGTTGTGTTGCCCTAAAATATAAAATTCTTAGTTACGTGTAATGGGGGTTTATCCAAACGCTTGATGCCTTCCAGTCAGTCACTCCAACCATAGAGATATCCACCCTGACAACACTATATATCTTTGCGCTTTGAAAGAAACGACCATCCGCCCTTCCACATCCAGCTAAATCTCTTGTGGGACAGAACTCCCTTTGTTCTGACTGGATAGAAAGCACTCTGCTCATTATTACGTGCTAAAAATAAACTAGCGAAATGATCAAAAATATATGTGTGGCATGTACACAATCTAAATACAAGCGATTTCAGTCATCGGAAGATAAAACTGAATAAGTGCGTTAGTTAGTGTATCAATGCACAGGGGGTATGTGGAATCAAAATAGGCAAATCACTATTGTCTGCGCACAGTAAGAGACATTTGTGCAAGCTTACAAACTCGTAACTTACGCAGCCGGTGCGTGCAATGTTCTAGGTAGCTGAGTCAAGAGTTACTCATCATCTGGGAAAAATAATCACCTGGATTCGGGCGTTTCATGGCACGAGCTTTGCGTCATGTAAGGGGTTTGACAGAACCGAACCATAGGCGTTGAACAATAGGCCAATCGAGTCACGAATCCGTCTCTCATGCACCTTGAGCTGTAGGGACGACTTTGCATAGTGCGATAAATCACGGTTGGTAGAATAAAGCATTTCAACCGGACGTCGCTCGGCCTGTTGGAGTTGATCTGTTGGGAAAGGCAACTCGAGAATAGGTGTAGTTCCAAAAGGACGAATATTATTCGTGGCTATCACTGATGGTTCAAAAGGTATTGTCTCCGTATTGGGACAACTTGGTGCTTCTTTCGAAATCGGGCGTATATTAGGCGGCTCGAAAGTTGGCCGCGTAGTCCAATTCCTACGACTGAGATTACTCGATCGACCGTTGAGGGGAAAACATTTCGGATCGTTCGATGTCACAGCTCGACCGGGGCTAAAGTGACTCTCAAGTCTGTGGGCAGACGACTGCTGGAACTGAGTTTGACGCGCTGTGCGGTAATCAACGGAGGGAGGTATTTGTTCTGCTTCTTGGTCTCGTAGATTTTCAGACCTTTGGGGAGGAAATGAGTTTCCTGCCGTAAACATACCAAGATATGTAGATGGAGATAGTGGTGTTGGAGGTGTACGACGATAATGAAGTTGCGGTAGGGCATTTAATACTGGATTTGGAGAGTACAGAGATGCAATATCTGGACAAGCATAATCTGACACTCGGTAATTTCGAGTGAGTGAGGCATAATAACTGGCCAAACGAAGGCTGAATAGTCTATTTCGCTGAAGTGAATTCGTGCGTCGACGTAACTTGCCTGTGGTGCCTCCTATATAGACATCCTCACAGGATGGATCGAGCATCCAGTAATTTCCCTTTCCAGGGTCGTCGTAGGCTCGAGGGACTTTGACAAAACATTTGTTCAATGACAAATTGTGACGTATAGAGTTTTGCCAGCCTTGTTTGTTATCTTTATAGTAAGGGAAGTTGCTCGTTATGAAGTCATAAATCCCATTCAATGTGAGACGTTTCTCCGGACTACTTCGTATGGCCATCATGATGAGTGCATTGTAGCTGAATGGAGGTTTGTCGCTGACACTGGTAGGTTTACTCGAAGTTCTACCCTGCTTGGATTCAGAGCAGCATCTGTCCTTCTGCTGCAAGGACTGTTCATTTAAGGGACAGGCTTCATCTTGATCATCAATTGCATCTCGGGACGTGCGTTGAGGAGAAATAGGAGAGTGCGAATACCGACCACACGGACTAGACTGCGCCACCGATGGGGAAGATTTGGAAGACCCAGACCTTTCTGAACCAGAGCCAAGATGGGAAGTACACAAGGAACTTTCTGGTGGCAAGGTGAACATTGACAACTGACTAGGTGGCTCATCTGTGTGTCCGTTTTGATTATCAAAACCTCGTACAATGTGTCCCGAAACGTGTGCCTTTGGGGAGCTCATATGGAAGCCAGGCTCTGGCTTCATTCTTGAAGATTGACCAGTAGTGGTTTGTACGGTCAAACTTTCCAAGATTTGCGGGTTTCGTTGAGGTAATAGTTTTTTCGAGGCTGTTAGGTGTAGCTCCGCGTTAACGTAGTTCTCCTTTGTGTCTGTTAGACATTCCTCTCCGATTTCATTATCTGAATCATTGGATAAGGGAAGATTAAGCATCGCCCTGATGCTGAATGCACTGGCCAAGCCATGAACTCTGTCGTAACTGGATTTGATTGAACTGGACTGCATAGTGTCGTTGTCAAAATCACCGGGTCACTGGCTTAATTGCGTATTAACTAGATCTTATTCCCCATTAGAACATCTCTGCCTGAGCGTGTGTGCTGATGTCAAAGACGCTTGTTCCTATTGGTTTACGACTGTCCAGTTTGGGGAATTATTTTTCTCTCTTGGCGTGTTTGCGTGCATGTTAAAAATGTCACCGGAGCAACTTTATGACATTGGGCAAACAAAACACACACATCAGAACTAGTGATAGTCACACCCTTCTTTGGCAGGGGAGGGGAGGTTGGAACCATACAGACTTCCCATATCACGTCATGACGGACTCGCAGGCTAGACGAATGGAATGTTGGCCGTGGGATGAAAACCAGCCAATGAGGTGACTAAAGCTCACGCTTGATTGGCCCATTCGCCGACGCTGGTTTCACTTTCTGTGGCAATGGCATGTTCATAGTACAAGTTAGGGACGAAAATTGCAGTCTCGCCAGAGAACGGGACTTGCTGTCAACTTGTACAACACTGATTAGCAACAGAACACTCTTCGTGCTGCTACTATCATCAATGTATTGTCCTACCACGCCAATAAATTACATCCTGTTAACTAAGTTGTTTGTGGAAGGTATTCAGACATTTCCAGACTGCAACTGCTACCAACGACATTGACCGTCCGAGTGAAAACATCTTGCGCTCTAATTTATCTTTATCACTTGGACTAACCTGATGTAGGTTTATCCGAGCACTCGTTCACACTGTTAGGCCCTCATGGTTCCTTCATGTGGTAAGGCAGCTAATAGGTGAAAGGATGCTATGGTCGAACAAGTATTGTCTTTACCATTGCTATTGCCATTTATAGACGTAACGGAGCTATCGCTCATCCTCAGGAACAACTTTAGCAAGTGACTGCAAAATGAAGTTAGTAAACCAAACAAAGGGTGAATATTCGTTTTGGGAAGTTAGCCACACCGTAGAGCCTAAAAAACCCCAAAACCATAGTCATCGCCTTCAATGCGCAGTTGTCCAGTTTCTCCTTCCCGAAGAGTAATATGTGGTGAGAACTAATTGACTATATCTGACTACACTACCCAGGCTCTCCATCGTCTGGTGATCGAAATTATATCAGCTGGAACCAAATTACCTTTGGTATATGGTCTTTAGCTTATGTACCTCCCAGAAGGCATCCTACAGGCGACCTTTAGGGTTAGAAAATCACTTCAAGAAACGATCCGTTTTAAGGTACTATTTATTTAAAAAAGATCGACTCACAGTATCGACAGACAAAAATGGTCTGCAGGGCGGTCACTTCTGAAGGGGAGTATACTACTGATGTACGGACCAGATAGATGAAATTTCACTATCACGAATTCCATTCCGGGATACCGGTTTATCGCAAAATCGATAACCAGAGTATAAATTGATCATGCCACATCGTGTATACTAATTGTATCACCTGTCCAAAACTCACCGTGATAGTTTAGGCAGCTTCAGACAGCCTGGCGACTGGACAGAAGGCCCACATCTGAGTGAAAATATTTACATTGAAATCGTGCACAATTTAGGTGCAATACTGATCAGCGTTTTCAAAGTGGTGACTTTGTGACGGAACTTTACTAACCTTCATCCTGGTGGTGGTTTCTGTGATCGATAGAGCTAACCCCTGTACAGAGGCTTTTTATATCGTATAAATTATACACGTACATATATTCTATACAGGAGGGTCACGATATTACTTCATTAGCCTCAGTAGAGCACCCCATTGTTGTCATAAATTGGATCGCGCATTATCATTACTTGTTCACGCGACCAATAGAGAGTTTCTCTCACTTGCTCTGACAAATGTTCATAGCGAGTGTACAAAAATATCTTTCGAATTGTAACCCGATGACCGGGTTTTGCCCTTTCTAGCCCTGTGAATGTTTATTCTAATTATCCGGTCATTCTCTTGTTTTACGGAGAGAAGCATTCTGTCAGCTGGTCTGTAAACAATGTTTGTTTATCATAAACCGTTTAGTCACGCCTGGTCAAAGCTATCTTCTTTCAGTCGACGATAAAGGTGTGCCATTGTTTGGTCTGGGCGATTTGAGGGGGTTGGTTTGTTCACAACTCGGCAGTCCGTAAATCATGTGCCTAATTTCAGCAAATACACTCATTTGAATATCAGCTGAATCTCTCGTTTGTGATGTTCTTAGGCAACTGAATGTGCTGCACCAGGCCGCCCCACGTTTCAGTCGGTACGATATTCGAGATATCGCGATACATTTTATTGACGTAATACGCTACTCGTAAGGTGCACTACGTCCATACATATGCCTAATTACTAAAAACCATTGTTGACATGCTGCATTTATGGCAGGAATTTCATTGGCGAGGTTGTCCGTGGGTTGATATGTCCGAGGGCAGATACCTTGCATCTGTGCCATGCGTTGAGCCTCGTGACTTCGCACACCACTTGCTCCCACCTTACATCTGTGCATTGGGTTGTGTAGACCCCTCCCCCTCCACCTTTACTCTTTTCTTTACAATAAGGCTTTCAGATAAATCATGGTTGTATGGCAGTGTGGCATCGGTGTTGAACACTGATGTCATGCTGATGATGATGATGATGATGATGATGATGATGATGATGATGATGATGATGATGATGATGATGATGATGATGATGATGATGATGATGATGATAGTGAGACCATTCTCGACCTACCACCCTTAAAGCGAATCTTGGTTGTCATCCTAGTCAACCGAGGTATTGTTGACTAAGCGCGTTCTGGTCTACAGGTATTCCGGTGTGCTGCGTGCGAAGCCAAAAAAATTGCAGCAGGCCCATGGTCAAGCCATATCTGAGTTTCCAGGATGATTTCACACTTTACGAAACCACGTTAATTTCGACTGGTACAAGGGTGTGAAAAAGGAGGGTGAAGCCTGCAACTTGATGTGACACTGTTCCCAGGTTTGATGAAAATTTTGGGCAGCCGGCTGTCGGTTTCGTCACTTTTTCGAGCGTTCAACTTCACAATAAATGCTGCTATTATAGCCAGCCTGTTCAAAGCATTCCAGATGCCATCACCAGAACAGTCACCGCAGTCAAGTTCAACTATACATCTAAGTAACAAATCATTGTAACCATAATATCAGATGCTACAAATCATTCAAACCAACGAATCGACCTGTCTGCCACGAAACATAAGTCGTGAAACTACTCAGCATCAACTCCCATTTGCGATGTGTCCAGGCAACAGAATGTGCTGCACCAGGCCGCCTCATGTTTCAGTCGCTACGATGAGCCCCAAGAAGGAAGAAACCGGTCGTGGGCTGTCGAAGAAGTTTCAGCAATCTAATGAGTACTGCATTTGAATATACATGTATCGCGATATCTCGAATGTCGTATCAGTTGCCTAGATTCAGCACAAACGAGAGACTCACAACTAGTCGACAGCCTACGACCGATTTCGCTCTTCTTGGTGCAAATGAGAGTATTTGTCGAAGCCTGTGCAACTTGGGTTCAAGTAGAACATGAGGTTGACGGAAACCCAGGGACTGCGTGTACCTGATGAAACCCAAAAAAGTCGAAACCGGTAGTAGACTGTCGACGAATTTTTAGCAACCTAATGAGCAGTGCATTACGAATATACTCAGCATCTTCTTAAAATAATCGGTTCTTAAGCTGGATCCTGCTGGAAGTTGCGCATTATTTACCATGAATTAACGGTAGTTTTCGCAACACTGACCGAGGAACAGCACAGCCAGTAGCGAATACCCAAAAGTTTGTCATACACCCCTTTACTTGTCCGATACGTGATTGTAGACGGACATCATTATCATTTGCAGGAATTTATGGTGAAGTATGCTGGACAAACATCACACAGGAATGTCGGTAGCGTTGACAAACCAACAACTGTATTTTAACAACCAATGCACAACAACTCCGATTCACTTTACAACAGCGTGCTGAATATGTCACCTGGATTGGTGAGGGGATTTTTGCAACAGTCTACACAAAACTTTTGAATTGTTATGTAACAAATAAACAGTATGCTTTGTTTAACCTGGGGCTTTTAACTAACACCAACAGTGCATGGTTAGTAGCCGACAAACTGTTATTTTTTCTTGACCAGTTGCACACAGTCCAATGAAATCGCAACCGTGAATGTTCGGTGATCTCAAACTACGCCTCATAAGAGATTAGTGTATGGCGTCTTCCTACGGTGAAGCATATTGCTACCTAACCACCCAAAGTATGTTCAAGCACGCAGAATTACAGTGAAATCTGACCATTTTGGTTAGTCCATACCTCATTGCCAAGCTCAAACTATCCGTACTGCATGAGCCTCAATCCTGAAGGGGGTGGGATCATTTTTCTGAAAGTTACATAATTTACTTAGAAACAGACACATAGCTGTCCCAACCATCCTAAATGACGAATCCAAGCGAGGCAGAAGACGACGTCATGTTAGAAAATTTTAATCTACTCAACGGCGTGATTGAGAATGCATTGATGTGGTGCGAGAACCAGGGCTTAGCAAAATTACTGCCTTCTGACGACTCAGTCGAGGGCTTGTGACGTTAACAATCGTAGAACAGCTCTAGCGTCTGACCAACGAAGGCGAATCACTCAAGAAAGTTCCCTGCGTTAAGATTAGGACGTTTGGTTCGCTCGATGCGGACCAATGGATACACACTGGATACACAATGGAGTTAAAGGTAATCACGGTCGGCTGTGGTAGGGTGTATTTTTCACAATTCAGTGCCATGCCACCCGTGTAGGGTTTACATACAACAAATTCTGTTGGTGATTCGGAAAGAAACAGCGTAAAGATACAAAGTTTCCTGTTTATGCATACAACCCTTCTGAAGTGACCCCCATTCAGATTCCGCTTCAGCAAAATTAGACGACGTGGTCGCTGAGGTCACGATAGGATTCACACGGCTGAAGGGGGCTGGATAGGTGACTTATATTGGTGAAAATCAACAGAGGAAGAATGATTCTCGGCAGTTGTATGCCTTCGATTCGCAAT